GGGCCATGTTGTAGGGGACGATCTCCTTGACCAGGGTGAGGAGTGTGTCCCTCTGAGCCTTGTCAGCCTCATCGATCTCCTGCCACTCCTTGGCAACCTCCCCTGCCAGGTGCCTGCCGGGACAAAGGGACGTCACCACCAGAGAAACCACCTTCACCCAGCCCCAAGGATGGGGAGCGGCTGCTGCCAGGTCTATGGGTTGTTTTGGGGGGCTCCACATTCCTGCGAGAGCTCGTGGGGGACAAGCTCAGAGGAGGAACGGGGTTAAGAGCAGAGATTGCAGAGGCCGTGGCAGCAAGGTCTCCGTGCAGAGAGGATGAGGGGGCACCTGTGCAGTGACAGGGGCAGCCGAGGACAAGCCCAGGGAGTGAGGACACCTCCCAGAGTCCAAGGGGAATCCCCCCAAGCCCATCTCCCCTCCCCAGGCTTACCTGACGTATTCGTGTCCCCAGGACGCCAGCTCCTCCTGGGAGCCCACCAGTCGGTACTTCAGACACTCGCGTTCCCCGCTCATGGTCATGGCCAGGACAGAGATGATGTCGGCGGCGAAGCGCTGGGGAAAGAGCACCAGGGGCTCAGACACACGTTGGGCAGGGGGCAGCCGGGGACACAACACCTTCCCTGCACCCACACGCCTTCACAGGCATGGCCCTGGCTCCTTATAATCCACCGGCTGAGCCACGGAGGCTGGTGTGAGACCCCAGGGCCCAGAGGGCTCCGTGACCACTGGCCCCAGCAGCAGGCAAGCAGGTCTGAGAGCCTTTACCTTGTTCTCTCCCGGAGCCATGTTCTCATAGATCTCCTTCAGCTTCCCGTAGTGCGGCCGCAGGAACTTGAGGGGCTTGGGGACGGAGGTCATGGAGGTGGTGGAGGAGCGGATCTGCCGCCGCAGCTCCTCCAGGGCCGGGCGGTAGAGGGACGTGTCCTTCTCCTGCCGAGGGAAGCACGGGGCTGGTTCCAGCGTCACCGTCCCGCCAGCCCCCCCAGACCCACCCCTGGCCCCAGGCAGAGGGAGGCAGAGGTCCCAAGGCTGGGGGACAGACCACAGCGAGGCCCCCGGCTCAAGGTGAGCCCCCCCATCCCCACTACACAAGGACAGAGGGACTCGAGCCCTGGGCAGGGCCGCTGGCTCCGCAGCCCCCGGCCAGGGGGGGGACACGGCACAGACTCACCCCCAGGCGCTCCACCAGCATCTCCAGCTCCTCCTGCAGCTGCTTGTCCTCCTCCGACTGCGGGGACACGCGGGGGAGAGCAGGGTTAGGGGTGCCCTCCCCGGGGTGCCGGGGGGGGGGGGGTGTCAGTGCTCCCATTATGGGGGATACCCCCCCCGAGGAGACCACCCCTCCCCAGGGGGCAACAAGGGCCTCCCCCATTACCCTGTGCTGTGGGGAAACAGCCCCGGGGAGAGGGGCACGGGGGGGGCACAGCTCCACTGGGGGAGGGAACGGGACACCCCTGGGGACAGAGGGACACCAGCCCCACGGG